CCCCAAAACCCCAAAACCCCAAAACCCCAATATGAAGAAATTTTATTGAATATTATATAAATATGATTAAAATAGCCATAGTAGGATTGCTTATCCTCAATCTCGCTCTTTGACATGACCATCCAATGATTGGAGTCATCTCATATCCAGACTCCCCAAGTGATGTAGAATCTAGCTCTTATATTCAAGGAGAAACAGCTAAATTTGTTGAAAGTACAGGAGCAAGGAATGTTGTTATTGAATATAACCAAGATTGGACAACCTCCTCAGAGACTCTTGAGCATCTTAACGGTATAATTATCCAAAATTCCTTTAATGGAGTTTTCACTTCTGGTACTATCTTCAAAGAGACTTTGTTGAATGCTTACAAATATGCTGAAGCTAAAAATGAGGATGGAATTAAGTTCCCAATCTGGGCAAGCGGAGTGACAGCTTTGCAATTAAGTGAAGTCTTGAGCACTTCCAAGGACATGTCTGAATACACAGTTAGCATTGATGCTATGGACCTTGCTACTTCTCTAAATTTCACTGAGCACACAGAAGCTTCACAAGAAGGTCCTATTAAGCCACTTTATGATATAATCCCAACAATGAGATCCAAGTTCTTAGAACCAGCTGTTGACTCAGATATTGTGTACTTCGACCAAGGTATCGGGATCACCCCCGCTTCTCTACAGAAAGACAAATTCCTATCAGAGGCTTTTCAAATAGTCGCTACCGCTACTGACAGAAATGGAAACGAATTTGTAGCACTTCTAAAGCACAGAAAGTTCCCAGTAATCCTCTCTTTCGCCCTATTTGAAGCAGTATACAACTTCTATCCTGACACCCAAATTCCTCACTCCAGCCCTGCCACTCGCCTCACAGTCCAATTCTCCAAGCTCTTCACTGACTTCTCCAGATCAAACGACCAGACCTACAACAGTATTGAGAAAGAGTACTCGAACAACCTCTACAACAGGCCTATGACCACAACTGTGAATAAAGAATACCAAACCTTTTATTTTTAAGAAATGGTGGTCAATAGTTTTTGTTAGATTTGGGGTTTTGGGGTTTTGGGGTTTTGGGGTTTTGGGG